GTTATTGGCTTTACATTTATGCATTTTGTTAATGAAGGCATAAGCAAGATGTCAAACTAGAAATAAACTGAACCAACTTTCCAGGAGTTAGTAGTTTATTTTCATAGTGATGTTGTCAATACTCTATTAAATGGTATAAACCATAAAAAATATTTTATTTGTCCAATAATTCACCAAATATTTAAGATATATGATTTTATATATCTTTAGTGGGCTTGTTCTAAAAGTAATTATATTAACATAGAATTGTCAGTGTAATACTTTAAATTTTATAAGTTAAAAGAGTATAAATTTAATTTTGCATGTATAAAAAATTCCTAGTTGGTTTATCTTTAAATAGAATTTGAAATAACAAAAACTGTTTTTTTGTTCAAAAGAAACCTGATTTTTAACACCTCAGTAGTGTATATTAGCTAAATGAACATTAAAAAAAATATATCCCACTTTTGAAAAAAATATTAGCACAAAGACTAGAAAACTAGGTTTGACACTTTCATTTCTACTTTTCAGTCCTACACAGTCTGTTATTGAAATGAAAGCACTGAAATTTCATGAACAGCTGTATAGAGGATTTTTCATAATTGAAAATATACATGAAGTAAAATAACTGTCAGTCTGTTTGATGTTTATAGTTTAAGATTATTTATCTCTAAAAAATAATTTTGTTTAAGTCAAAAAAATTTTAATGGTGAATTTCATTTGAAATAAATTTAGCTTTTATGATTTTCACATTTATGGAGTGATTGCATTTTTGGTCATGTAAATTGATGCATGTTTATTCTTTAGTTGCATGTGTTTTCATTAAACATTGTATATACCACAAAGCATGTGCCTTCAATAAAAGCTTTTCTTTTGCACATGGTTTGTAGGCTGAATTATTAGTCTTGCTTTGTGTCCTTCTTTGGTATTGTTTTTTGCATGATGGTATGATTTTTTTTGCTTTAAATTTTTAATAAAGATATAAAAAATATGAAAGATTTTTAATATGAAAGTAAAGGAACCCTTATACTTGAAATATCTTACAACAATAAAATAAATCCACCTGTTAGTTAAATTAGAACATAAATAATCAAAGCATTAGATCATTATTCTAATGTTTCCCTGAAAATATGTGTAATGCTTTCATTTTGTGTGGTTTAGCAATACTATGATGAACTCTCTCTTGGAAGTATAAATTGTTGTTCATTTGAGTTCATAATAAGATGTATTTTCAATAAATATAAAAGTACATGTTACTGTTCTATAAAAGTAATACAAATATTTGTATTACACTGTATGTAAATATTAATTTTTATTAAAGTGATTATATTTTGTCTTATTGGTAATTGTAAATGATATTTGTAAAATACTAGTTTCAGAATTCTTATTAGATTTTATTACTCCATAAAAGTCTTAGTGTTTTGTCTGAAAATAATTTTTTTGTCAGCTTGCACTTTTCTTAAATCAGGAAATGTATTTTGTTGTGGAAAAATTAAAATTGAATAACATATCTGTGTCTGATACAACATCATTAACAATTCTGACTAAACACTGTGTGTAATTTGAACAATGAAACCTTAAATAAGTTGTTATAGCCACCCTAGTTCATTGCCAGCCAATCGATTGATAAAGATTAGCACTTAAGTTCCATAAGTTGCATGATTTATTATGAAATTGTAAGTCAACTAAAAATCTTGTGTCAATCATGATTTGCATTCACAGAATTTCTTAATCATATTTTCATGGCATAGTGCTTAGTGCTGTATGAAGTGAATTCCTGAAAATCATATATCCAGCAGGAAAAATAAATGAATGTTTGGATTTATGTTAAATATTTTACGGTAGCACTGATTTTTTAACATCTTTTGTAATAAATACTGTGATTTCATTCCCTCTGTCACTGTGGTGATATTTCTGAAATAGGGAAATTTGGAAATGTTTTTCCTTGTATGTGTGTTGCTGTTTATTGACTTACTTAATAACAGTATAATCATATTTTATTCATGTGGATGAGCAGAGAATTGGTGTTAAGAGTATATTGCTGACTGAATAACCAGAATATAATATAGTCATATGATACATTATATTTTCCTCACTTGTCACTCAGTCACAATCATTAGAAAAAACTTCAAAATGATTTCAAAACCACTTTTTTTAAGTCAAAGAGAGACTCATAAAGATTGCAGTTAAAGTGATGGAAGTGACTGAGATCCTGTAGGATAAGAAATCTGTTAGAAATGGTATATACAAAACCAACGTAGCTGGGAAGATAAGAAATAGACTGTTGATTTACCTTGTACTTAATGAAAACTCTGCATGAATAATTATCTTGACATTAAGTTAGGCTCAAATTACATCCATGTTTTCAAATTAAATTTAAAAATTGTTAAATTTCTGTTTACTGTAAACAGTAACTTTATTGAGTTTAAGGATATGATAGTTTAAGATCATGTAAATTTTTCTCTCCTCAGCAAAATTTTGAATTTCAGTGAAAAAAAAAACATGAAACCAAGTCTATAATTTGAGAAATAAAAAAACAAAAAGAACTGGATCTCTTGCAGTGGTGGTCTATAACTTGTATGTATTGGTGTATAAAAAACTTATACAGTGTCCTATGTTCATTCTTCTAAATCATTCAGTAAACAAACTGTTGAAGTTTTGCTTGTGATGTATTTTTGACATAATTAGGGATGAATTTGAGCAGCTAACCCTTAAATAACTTTGTGCAAAATTTGGAAACAAACCAATTGAGAGTACATTGTTAATTGTTATCTTTGATATATTTTTATAAACACTACCAGTATTAAAGTCAAAATTAAGCTTCTAGCTCTTGCGTGTATTCAATACATGAAATGCCTTTTAGCAGTAGTTCAAAATTTGGTATGAATATACCTGAATCCTAGGGGTCTCTGACCTGGCTGTTTATCCCATAAGTTCCCACTCACTCTTTTATAAACATAATATGATCGTTTATAACCATGGTTCAACAAGGCAAGGCAGTATGTTTAATATTAATGTAGAAAAACCTGTTTTTGTTGTTGTTGTTTTTTATCATGGAAATTTTTGTTTCTACTAGGTATGCCATTTTTTTTAATAACCAACTTAAATTCAGGGTATAAGATTTTCAACACAACTTTAATAGTTTAACTATTGCTGGATTTATGTTTTCCAAATATATGGAGTAATTATAAGCACTTGTTTGGAGCTCTGTCTTTTCTCAAGTATACGAGAACAGTTGTTTTTAGTTTTTGGGATACAAAATCAACAAAAACATTGTTAGATTTCAGGTCACATAGACATTTTATATAGCACAATCACCAATGGTTGATGAAGCACTGTTTGAACACATTTAAATCATATTCAACTTATGAACTTTTTTGTAAAACTGGATGGGAATAGTTAGATTATAAGAGTCATACTTGCAACATTTTTGTGTGTCAGGATATAATTTGTACCATCTATAAGACAATGATATTGGAAAAGAACTTAATGTGTCTTTTTTTAACAGAAAATATCATTATCTTGTCAACTTGATGGAGCATAATATTTATTTCCAGTAATAGTCTTTCCACTTATGTTTGTCATTGAGACGGAAGTCCCTCGATGGGACAGCAGTAAGTCTTCGGATTTACAATGCTAAAATCAGGGGTTCGATTCCCTTTGGTGGACACAGCACATAGCCCAATGTAGCTTTGCTATAAGAAAACACAAACAATTAAGACAGAAATTGTTACCTGTTTTCTTTACACGTATAGATTATTTTATTATATTTGAACATGAGCACTGAAAATAACTTACAATGTTTTATACACAACTTTTTACTGATTGATTGAAGAAAACCTCGCTTCACAAAAGTTACACACACTAATCTACAATGTAAAGAGATTTAAATATATATTTCAATTTGCAACAGAAAATTAGTTTAGTTTCACTTATTCCATTCTCTACTTTAGTTTTTATTAAGTAATACTTTTACCAAGGTCAAAGTTTGTATAGAACCTTGGTACCAAAGATAGGACAGTAAATAATATATTAAATCTAAGAGCAGCAACAGGTATTTTAATAATGGTGAGAGTTTTGTTTCTGCATTACGTGCTATGCCACAGACACTACTAAGTAATTATTTACATTGTCAAAGTACCAGAACTAGGACAGTAAGTATTAAACCTAATTTAAGAACATCAAATGTGGTGAGCAATTTACCATATAGATATTTAAAAAGAAAGGCCTGGTGGTTATTTTGGTAAATATTTTAGTACCAATGTGATAACTTGTATGACGACATGTTTTCTGGAAAAAGAAAAAGGTCCAGTAGTATCTCACTGATTCAGAACGTCTGAGCAAGAATATTAAAACAATCATATTGTTTTGCCATGAAGTACAATTACAATGAATGCAGGACATATAGTAGAAACAGTGAAGGTTCAAAGACAGTTATAATTAAAGTTAAAGGAAACTATATGTTTACAGGCATTTAGTTAATGACATGACTGTTTGGAGAATATGGTCTAAGCATTTTGCTTTTTTATCATTAATTTGTAACTCGTTGGTAAGAATCTCATAAAAATTGGTGTCAATTGCCATGCTAAGTAACGTTTAATGTGTTATGAAGTTTATATGGTCCTTACTGACAGAACTGGGACATTTATGAATACACACTGGCTATACATTCAGTAACATGTTCATGAAATATTGGTATGACATAAAACTAAAAATTTTGAAAACTACCTCTCTAATTTTTGTATCAATACCCATTTCGCATGTTTGGTAAACTGTTACATTGACCTTGTATAAGATTGTTGTATGTAGTTTGATAATAATATTTTTTTTGCATGAACTTTTAATATGTCAGTAGCAGTTTGATGATCATATTACAAATATTTTGGAATCAGGAAGTAACCCAAGTATTGTTATTTTATAATATCATCCTCACAATGCAAAATGTAGTATGGGCCAAACTGTTCATGTAATTTTTGTCCAAGACCATGACTAAACATTCAAGTGTTTTAAATGTTTACTAGGATCCCAACACCTGGACATCGTGTTTACAAGCATTGGCATTATCTCCACGTTCAGAAACAGCAGACAGTAGTAGGGTAGGTATACAGGTCTTGGTTACATACTTTTAATCATAAGTTTTAAACAAAATGCTTAAATTATATTGTCTAATACTTTCAAAACAAAAATCCTCCAACAACCCTATTGGCTTGATTTTAAGTTAAAGGATTTTGCATGTTACAAAATATAGTAAAGGTACTATCAATAAATACCAATAGCTGAAGTATGAAAATATCAAGAGCTTGTGATCTTTACTCATTAATTTTAAGAACACTTATAGCATGTGATATATAATCACTTTCATATCATGTAACTAAAAGACTTATCTACCATCGATGACCTGAATATTCTTTTCTTTCCTTCTTTTTTCCCTCAGACAAGTTTTTAACTGGCTCTGATGTGCAGCAGCATTCTTACTAAAACATTAATGGTTATATGTTTATCCTAGTTTTTTTTTTTTTTTTTTTTTTTAATTGATAATGCACATGTTTTTTTTTTTTGTATGATGCCAGCCAAAGTCTGCTAGGATTTAAACCATTTTCAAATAGCAGTGACCAGATGATCTGAGAAATGCAGATTTTAGTAATACACAGTATAGTTTTTGCAATCATAATCACATTTCAGTATACATAATAGATCATTTGGCCTGGTTGTTGTTTGCCTTGGTATTTCCTCTTTTGTGAGTTGCACATGTATTTCATGTGTGAGGCCAAATACTTGAAATAGTTAATTGATCTTACTACCTCATTATATGAATCCTAGTTTGTAGTGTCAATCTGTTTTCAAGTCATTATTTTATTTGATGGAAACACATTTTCATTTCTTCTGAAACAGTTACAGATAAAGTTTAAAAATTTTCATTTTTTCAAGGTCTCTCTGATCATTCTTTGTCTTAGCAACTTCTGTGGTAACTTTTTTTGCTTCCTGTATCATATATATATATTTATGTATTGTTGGAATTTTTTATTTATCCTCAAGTGTATTTTACTTAAATAATAGTTTATGAGTTGTCAACAAATAAAACAACATGATTTTACCTCATTTTCCTTCATCTCATTGTCAGTAAGCTATAACTGCTCATGTTGTTGAGTAAGAACTAATAGTATGGTGTCAAATGAAATGTTCCCAGTGTGCAGTTTTTCAGTGCTACTTTTGATGCTTGTATTTTCTGTATTCACCTTCATCAGTCATTTGCTTTTTTCATTTTGACATACCCTTGAATGAAAAGATGACTGTCTTGCTAATAAGAAAAATAAATATTCCTGGATCATACAGGTTTTTGAAATCTTCACCTTTCTATCACTGACAGGGAGTTTTATAGTTTCATCACTTTACTCACTTAATTGGAATCTGTGATTCTTGGATAATATATACAAAAACATTTTCCAGTCAGAGTAGAAAACCCTTATGGTAAAAAAAGATCATTTCTTAAGTGTAAATGAACTAAAAATTTCCATCATTACTTTAACAAATTTTAAACCTTTTCTTATGAGGAGTTGCTTTAGGGCAATTGGAACTAGAGTCTGAAGATCCTTTCAAAGTTAGGAAGTCAATGCTGTACGATTAAAGCACACAACCTGAAAATTTTCAGTTCAGTGACAATCGTACCAAAGCTATGATAGGAACTGCTTGATAATGTCATGTAATAATATGAACTCAAGAATAATTACCTGATCCTACACTAGTGATATGACACACATATACCTTTAATATCTATTTTGTAATCATTAATAGCTGTCTGTGCACTTTGTAGGAACAAAATAAGATATTCCATCACAATAATGAAACACTAAATTGTTAACTTGGGTAATATGCAATGAATAGTATTTTATAATTTTCCATAACATTTCTAGCATCTAGTGGAATATTAATTAAAAAATTTATAATGGCTTACAGTCAAGCAGTAGATCACCTATGGTATCTCCTAGAACTTCTCCCCAATCGGGTCGTAGACCTCCAGGTGCACCACCTCCTGTTCCTCCTCGAAGGTCTTCCCCGACAGGGACACCAGGACAGTCTCCAGGCACATCACCAAGGTGTATTTAAGAGGTTTTTAATTTAATGCTGCCAATAAATTTAAAGGAACTAGGATGAAAAACAGAGCAGATTTTCAAAAAAAAAAAAATGTGATTGTAAGATCACTTCAACAGAATTAGAGAAATAAATTGATAAATGTAGAAGTTATTATTTCAATATATGTATAATATGTAAACTTAGTTTTTAGGAAGAATTGTAATTTGATTACTTTTGATGAAAGTTTCTAATTTTTAAAGATATTTATTGCACAAACTGATGTGTCTATGAATTGTTTAAATGTTGTGATATACAGTTTCTGATATGATATCTTACTGCCTTTCATAAAATAGTTTTTCTCAATTAGTATTTTCCTCTATTGGTACAAAATTTCAATGCTCACCACGAGCCTTCCACTCCCTCACCTCTTCTACATATACACATGTGAGTAATTATGCAGCAGCTCTCCACCAATAGGAGCGCAACACAACCCCTATTGTAACCAGCATCCTCTTCACTTTTGCACTCATCAATCACTTCTCAGTTGACAGTAGTACTGTACGAATGTCTTGCTTTTGCTCGAAAATTTGTTGACATTTTCATTTATACTACAGACTTCATTTTTCATTAATTTTTTACATTTATGAATTGTGAAAGGTTTCTTTTTCCAACTTTTCTTATTTTTTCGTTAATTTTTTTCCCTTCAGATTTGGAATTGCCACTATGCACTTGCAGGTTCTGGTAGTTACAACTACCACAATTGTTACTGCTGCTGGGGTTTTCTGATCATTGAGAAATGTCCACGTTCATGCAACCTTCACCATCACATGAGGAATATCCTGTCATGCCTGCTCCTGGGGGTGTCTGACAAGGAGGAGGAGAATTTGGACAGCCTATTCCTCTCCCCTCCTGAATATGCTTCCCAGTCATGAGTGATATTGGGGGATTTACCCAGACCTCCTTCACCCTTTGTGGAATTAATTAATTGGGTTTGTGGTGAATTATCCTTATCTCCTGTTTCCTATGATTCTCAACCTACCCGCCTTGGTGAAGTATCTATGGGCTAATATGTAGTGTTTCCTCTCTCACCTGATGTTGGGGTTCAAGCCAAGCATTTTGAGGATCAATTTTTGGTCTGAGGTTAGTATGCCTCATCTGCCTCATACACCTGAAGATCATGCTTATGCATTTCATAATTCTTCCAACATTTGGAATCTCTCATTACATTGTGGGATTCTAACACTAATGCATCAGTGAATTGCTCACAACCTCAATTATTCCCATCTCAAACTGATGTTCTTCAGAATTCTACATGCATTATTGACTATGCACTTGCTGGCTCTGGCAATTCACTTGTCTCCTGAAGGGTTTTCAAATAATGTTCACGGTCTTGTGTTTACTACAATGGCATGCCTTTTATCTTTGGCCCTGGATTTTCAGATGTGGCTGACATGGTGTTGAGATGCCATTTTTTCTTGAGTACGTTTAGCCACTACTTCCATGCACGATTTGTGCATAGCACCTTTTTTATGTGAGGTGGTGCTTGGATTTTTTTTCTGACTTATTGGAGACTCAAGTTAAGTTTGCTGGTCTGCATAATTTGTTATCCTCATTAGCTTCACATTTATGCAACCTCCTCCAACTGTTTCTGTGTCTCACCTCCCCCCCTTAACTCTATGCCAATCTGGGCTTCTCATTCTTCATCCATTCACTCGACTGCTTCATGCCAGAAACCTTTGTTTTCATCATTACACGGACAATTGGCTTCCTCTCCAGTCAAATCTGTTGTTCATACTCAGTTTCTTCTTCGAGAGGCTGTCAGAGTGGGTTGGCTCATCAAGGTGGATAAATTGTTTCTCACACCCACACAATATCTGGGTGGGTTTTTCAATTCCCTTGTCAGTTGGGTCCTGCCTTTTCCCCCTTCATTTATGGGATATGGAACATCTCCTTTGCAGTCTATTGACCTCTCCCTCTCCTACTACATGAGAGACCCTGTCTCTTTTGGGGACATGGTTGCAGCCACATGCATCACTTTCAGTGGATGTTACTGGAGCCTCATTCGGGATCTCTTAGAAGCTCCTATTACCCTGCCTCCCCACCTACAGGCCAACTTCACTTGGTAGTTGGTTTGGACCAATACTACCATCAGAATTCCTCTTTCATCTCCTTGACTGGATTGTAATTTTTTACAGATGCTTCCCTTTCAGGTTGGGATGCATATCTCAATACTCAAGAGGATTCAGGTCATTGGACACTGGCTGAATCGTCCCTACATATCGACATCTTGGAGTTGCTGACAGTTCATCATGCTCTGCTTCACTTCTTGTTGGATGTTTGGGGGCATTCTGTGATGGTCCACTCTGATAATTCCATGGTAGTATTGTCTTATATCACAAGGCAAAGGGTACCTGGTCACGAGAGCATTGTTTCTGAACATTGAATCTCTACTGGGCCCACAATCATCACATCAGATTGTTAGCATGTCATATTCTTCGTGCTTTGAATCTGGTCGCGGACCGATTATCTCAGCCAGACAAGGTTCCCCCGACAGAGTGATCGTTTAATCTGCAGGTGTTTCAGGAATTGTGTGCTCATTGGGGTATTCTGAATGTGGATGCTTTTGCCACTCATCTCAATGCACAACCTTCCTGTTTTTTATCTCCCATTCCTCATCCTTTGGTAGAAGCTGTAGATGTTCTCAGTCACAACTGTATACATATCCTTCTAATCGCCCTCTTCCCAGGGTCCTTTCATTAATTCAGACCATTCCATGTTGTGTGCCCTAGTGACTCTGTTTTGGCCTGCTCATACATGATTTTCACTTCTGCAAAGGCTTTTGGTGTCTCCCACACTCCTTCATCAAATGTGTGTTATCCATCTGTTCTCACCCTCCAGTTTCACGGTATGTTTCCAGTATGTCCTTCCTCCTTGGCAGTTTATCATTGTAAACAAGGCAGTACTATTCAAGAAAAGCTATTTTGTGAGTGGAAATAAGTATCTATCAGAAATACATTTTCAGATTAGGAAAATATTGACTTTGATGTTTTAGTTATCAAAAAATTATTGTCATCAGCCAACCTTCACACATCATCTTAAAATAAATGAATGAGAACTACTGAACGTTAATTGCACTTTACAAAAACGATGTTTCAGGTATCATGCTTCCCTTGAAATTATTTTCTCCATTGTCAAACCTGCTTGTTCTGATGGTTGTGATTAAATACTACTACCTGAAACCATTTTTTTTCATTGTAACAAGCTTCTATAAAGGATAAAAAAGTCAATTTTATATTACACATCTTGAATTATGAACTTTTGTCTTATGAGCCTTTAATTAACTTCAAATTATTGCTTGTTATCTTGTTAAGAGTGCCAGGAGATATGACCAGCTTCATATCAATGGCTTTTTGAGTTGGAGGGTTCTCTTTCATAATCATAACCTTCACTTTGCAGATGAGGGCATTATACAGGATTGGGTTGTCCTTTGGTTTTAGAGCAACTACTCACCTAAACACTGCATTGTGCATGTTTTCTCATTGTATGGAAAATACTGAAAACTCCATTGCTTGTAATACTATATATTTTGGCTCTGCATAATTTAACGGTCTTGTTATATGAATAACCTTCTTGGGAAAGGGCTGTGACATAATACTCCAGTGATGGCATTGAATCATCAAATTGTCAAGTACACAGGTCTTAAATGTTCTATATCTGCATTGGCACTAAAATGTACTGCTATGAAGTTCAATTAATCCTCTGTATATATGTAGCTTAGTGCTTTTTGTATATCTCAAGCTTATTTCTTATTGTTGTAATTGAATATAACCCCTACTTCTTTAATTTAATTCTGTCCTTATACCCCAAACCACAGTTATAATAAGTTAGCAAATTTTAAAACAGTTTTAACTGATTTTAACATTAGTTAAAAATTTATAGTTTTTACTGAACATTTTTATTAAACTTAGCAAAATTTTAGATGGATTATTCACTTTTATTTACTTGCAATATGACTATTGTCTGTATTTTCTTATTTGATCAGAATTGAACTTTTCATATTCTGTCGTGTGTTTTTGCAACTGTGGTAGTTCCATAGGCATGACAAATAAACAAGAAGGACAACCATGGTTAGAGAATTAATTAAATTTGGCATTTATTATTGGAATTTCTATAAATTTGCAAATGAAAAGTATGCCTGCATAAAAACTGAATTTTTGTTGGCCTCAGGCATCAACTTTTAGGTAATCCAAACACAGAAGAACACATAAATGGAATAATAACTACGATATCTGTCACACCACAGAGCTCACCAGAAAACTCGGGTAAGCCAAAAAATGTTGAATTTTAATTAATCATTTGTCCCAAATATTTAAAGATATATGTAGAAAAGGAGAATAAAGTTAGAATTTTTATAATACTTCAAAAAATTTAACCTGTATTGTTAATTATACAAAATCGTCCTTGCATTGTACTCTAATTATAATTAAAGTAATATGAATGAGTAATCTATTAGACTGATTCAAAATATCTTAACATGTTAACCCCCACCTAGCCTTACATTTGAGTAATGGTCATGATCTCACAAAACATGCCATTATGCTTTATTTGAAAAATGTTTTAATTATCACTTGTTTCATTACAGTTTAGAGAGATATTTATGGTAGGAAACCAACATGATTAAGACATTTTGTAAAGAAAATGTATAGGTGTTTTAAACAGCACTAGTAACTTATAATATGTAAGATCTGAGGAAATATTTCAAACTGCACTGAGAATCCAATGATTATTTTTTATATATTTCCTTTATGTGTACATAATAAAATAATGTGTACAAAAATAATCTACTGTATTAGTATTTAAATGTTAGATATAATTGGTAAGATAAAATTTTTACTATCAAAGCAGATTTTCAGTAGCTGTATTCTTGTACTCTTTTTGATGGTTTAGAATAATTAATTTCATGTATTTTACAAGGGATTATTTGCATAAATTAATTACTAGGTATCTTGAATGTGAGTGTAGTAGTTTGAAGAGAGGAAAATAAACTATATATATATATAGAGAGAGAGAGAGAGAGAGAGAAATGTTGCAAAATCAATTTAATCCAAGTAGAATTACAATAACCTGTGAGGTTCATAATCATTCATTCTTTCACCATTGTCATATATATATATATATATATATAACAATAAAGTCTATTCTT